TATTCCTAGATATGACGTCATATATGAAACAAACTCGCGTGCGTGTCATCCTGAACAATTTAATCCTGACTGTGTCATGTCAGGGGTTAATCGTTAGATGTCCTCTTTGCAATCATAATCTCCCTTTTCTTATCATCTTATCTTCTGTTCGTATCACACGCGCCTCGTTTTAACAGTAACGTTCTCCATCCTGGGTATGACGATAAATTTCATCCGGCGGCCAGGGCTCAGATCGGGAAGTTTTGAGGAGCATGGAACCACTTGTTAATTGCTGCTCTTCCCTGATGCAACTTGACCAGGGGTGGTAGAACATGTTAGGATCCCATCTATGGACAAATAGTGAACCCTCAAACTGGGGTCAAAAACAATATAAAAATATAAAAAAATAGATTTTTGTAATAAGAATGCCAGCAAGCAGTTATGTGCCATGCGTGATACCCGCTTTGGCGATCATGTATCTTTCGATACATGACTGACGAGGCAGATTTTTTTCTTTCTGCGGTAGACCATTTGCCAAGGCTATAGAACTCGGTCTGTCCTGCTATTTACTCATAGCTGGTAGGAGAAGAGAGGGATTCATATCTTTCCCAGAGGTATTAGCCCGTAAGTATCGATCTGACTGGAATTCGAACTCGGCTCTCCGATTCCACAATCCCAGGTATCTATTAATCTACCGTGGCTCCTGTCAGCAATATATTTTTGGAAAAGAAAATTACCAAAGCTCCCAAGATAATTAAATTTCGACATTAAATGGCCCCTAAAGAGTTGATATACTGTTAAACTGAGCAAAAAAAAAAAAGACAAAAAAAAACAGTAACGCTTTAAATTAAAGTGGTCCTTGACACTCGTGGGAAATTTAGTTTTAAAAAAATGGTGGTTATTTTAAATATTCTGTTTATCAAATGCATTGAATTCTTTCTGCGGTTTGTAAGGAAACTCTTTGCCTGGCATTGATGCGACCATTATGCAGGAAAGAAAGTTATGCGAGGCCTTAACTACCCACACATAGATCAATTTCTGTTGTGGCATGATAAGGACATCCCCAATACATAGCACAACACTTCATCTGTACTTTTTGATGACCTCCATACTGTCTGTAATCTAACAGTTAATTATTCATTTATTTCTTCTGTTTTTTTTTTTTTAAATTATATTTTTAAGAGTTATTTTTCTTTCAGTTTTCTTTCTGAACCTGCCATCAACACAATGTCATCCACATATTTTATGCTTTTGATTATCACCAAATTATATTTCCTGAAGAAAGCCGGTGTGTACAACAACCGAAACGTCGTGAATATGGCAACAATCAGAACAATGTAAATAGTGTAAATAAAGATTATCTCCACCAATAAAAGATCCCGGTAGGCCTTCCTGTACGATCACCGATGTCAAGCAACGTTGAGCCTGGTCAGTACTTAGATGGTAATACTAAATGCTGTAAGCTTGGGTGTGCGCGCGGTGTAATGGATAATGGCTCGGAATAGTAAATCGGAGAGCCGTGTTTCAATTCTATTTGGATTCGTTATATTCACTTACGCCCAAATACCCTTGAGAAAAGTATGAATCCACCTATTCTCCTCCCAGGTATGGGTTAATTAGTAAAACTTGTATCCCTAAATCATTACTATCTATAAATAAATAAATAAATAAAAATAAACATTTGTATGATCTAAAAATATTTATGGCTTTAAATAACCTGCATAGGGTTGACAAACCGTGGAAAACGAATCAATATCAGGATCGTCTCTTTGTGTAGCTTAAATAAATCCGGTGACCAAACGCATCCTTGTCGCACTCCTCTTTCTATTTTTGTCTATTCACTAAATTCGTTCGCATTTATTTATCAAAGCCCTCCACCCGACTCGAGCAGAATGGGGTGCATGTGAGAATCCAACTTGTAGATATGACCATATGCCAAAATTAATTCAGCCTCCTCAGGCCTTTCTCTTTTGGAGAGACACCCGAAGGAGAGATAATGCTTTATGGGACGGGTCGTCAACTGATGTTTGGGCTAGTTAAGCTCGCACAAAAATTGTTCGGCTAATTCGTTCTCTACCCGCATGCATACTATTTCTTGTAAATATAGTTTACAGATTAGTCAGATATTTTCCCGCCTTTTTGAGGATAGATATTTGATAAATTAAACTAGCGAATCCCGAAAAGAGTCCAGCTGTAACTGACAGAGAGATCGACTTTCTGACCCCGGTACCTTTGCAAAGTGACCTCCTCTCTTTATTTGGTGACTATCTTTCTTTTAATATTTTTGACCATTACTTTTCTTTTCTTTTCTTTCTTTCTTTCTTTCTTTCTTTCTTTTCTTTCTTTCTTTCTTTCTTTCTTTCTTTCTTCCTTTCTTTCTTCCTTTCTTTCTTTCTTTCTTTCTTTCTTTCTTTCTTTCTTTCTTTTCTTTCTTTCTTTCTTTCTTTCTTTCTTTCTTTCTTTCTTTCTTTCTTTATCCTCGCTTATCTCCCTTTAGATAAATGACGCCTTTCTAAAGTGTTTTCTCATTTTTTTTTTTTACAGATTTTTCTCTTTCAGTTTCTTTTTTCTTTCATAATATTTGTCTTTCTTTTTTTCATAATTACTTTCTCTTTGAAGTTTTTTCTTCTTCATTTTTTAATTGCTTTCTTTAGTAATTTCTTTATTTCCTTTACCTTTGTTTAAATACTTTCTTTCCTACTTTTTTCATCTTATTTTCATAATTTCTTTGTCAATAGCTGTTTTAATTTCTTTATTTCATAACATCTTTTCCAACTTCCTCGTTCTTTCTTTCTTTCTTTCCTTCTTTCTTTCTTTCCTTCCTTCTTTCTTTCTTTCCTTCTTTCTTTCTTTCTTTCTTTCTTTCTTTCTTTCTTTCTTTCTTTCTTTCTTTGTATGACGATAAACTACATCTGGCAGCAAGGCCTGTAATCGGGAGATTGGCGGTTTTGAGAAACAGCTCTAAATTGCTGTTGTTCCCAGCTCCACCCTGACCCGGTGTGGTAGCACCTGTTAGGGTCCCAGCTATAGGTAAATAGAGAAACGCCAAACAGAAATAAAACACTGTGGAAATATGAAAATGCATTTTTATAGTAAAAGTAAAAAATTAGTAAGAATACATATTTGTAGGGAAATTACCAATAATTAGATATTTATAGTAAAATTACCAACAATACAATTTTAAAGCAAATATATTTAGTTGAAGCCATAAAACTGTTTTCAAAATATTTAGAATTCGGCATTAAATAACAGTAATAGTGGTTAATGTGCCGCTAAACAAAATCAACCAACCAACCAATTTTCTTTCTTTTTTTCTTTCTTTCTTTGCAATTCCCCTAACTTCTTTCTTTTTCTTTTTCATAGTCTTACTCGGCCTTATTTCTTTCCCCCAACCTTAGAAAGTTGGTTTCTTATTTCGTTTTTCTAACATTTTCCGGGCTATCCCAGATCATCGAGCGACTTCCTTTGTTCTCTGTACCGAGTGAACACATTAATACTTGGGACGGGCTAATAAAAAAATTCGCCGAAAAATAACACTGACATCTTTTTAGGAAAAAATACTATTTATGGCTTCAATTTCATGAAGTGACTTCGAAATTATGACCCTTCGTTTACCGGATACATGGTGTTTGATTAATTTTAGGATAGGCATTTTAAAATTATTTTAATGTTTAAGATTGTTGAGATTTTCATTTCTATTGTATTTTTTAAAATATGAATAATGAGATTTATTGTGACAGTAACGAGAATCACTGAAAGAAAAACGAAAAGAGTTATCTAATTTGAAACAACTGATGAGATATATCGCAAGAAACTTTTCTCCTGTCTCATCTTACTCTAGCAATGAATCGAACAGGGATTAAAGACAATTCACAGTCATTAAGAAATAATAAAAACAGTGATTTTCTAGGAGCAGCTGACGAGATATATTGCAAGTAATTTCTTTTTCTCGGGTTTTTTTTTATTAGGATAGGTGTTCGAAATAGTTCGTAATCATACTTATTATAAAACCCAGGTTGTGTGTGTGTGTGTGTGTGTGTGTGTGTGTGTCTGTACGTTTATATATTGGATCGGATTCCTACATTTTTCAACCGATTTCAATAAAACTTCACAGGACTACGTAAAATTACTTTGCGGTGGTGCTGACAGCGCCAAAAATTGGAAAAACACATTTGTTTTTGCACGAAATCAATTAAGAGACATCGGGGGAATGAAAGGGGGACAACTCATATCGAGTTATACTTATTATAAAATCCAGGTTGTTTGTGTGTGTGTTCGTTTATATATGGGATCGGATTTCCTACATTTTCAACCGATTTCAACAAAACTTCACTTTTTTTTTTTTGGCAGGTAGTGTTTCTTATTGTCTTGCACACTTTTTTTCTTTATTTTTACATTCAGAATGCTTTAAAAATTCCATTTACAAGACAATTGTTTATAATAAAATTCTATTCAATCGGTAGACTCATAACGATTGAAAACAATGTTTTTTGTTTTGAGTTTGACCAATTCGTAAAAAAAAAAAAAACTAATTAAGACATGCGTGTCCGTCAACCTTAAACAATAATCTTTGTCAATTTTATTTTTCAGTCTTTATGATGGTCGTTACTTGATCTATCTCTTACTGTTACATCCCCGGGCAACGCCGGGCTCTACTGCTAGTTTATTATAAAAGCAAACGTTGTCTTGAAGCAGCTCACAAAATATATAGTGAGGACTTTCTTTTTACTGGGTTTTCTTGCATTTGGTAGTCAAATAAATAGGGATTCAATATATTTCATAACATTTAATGAAGTCAATGAAAGTCGTGATTATTCTGGAGCAGCTGACAAGATATAAAGCGAGAGCATGTTTCTCTTGGGTTTCCTTACGCTTACATTGAATCAGTTAAGGATTCAATTCAGTTCGCAGACTTTGATAAAAAAAAAAAACAAGCAATCAAACAATGATTGTCCTGAAGCGAGATATATATAGAGAGAAATTTCTTTCTTCTTTCGTCTTTTTACACTACCAGCCTTTCTGTCATATCACATTGAAACACCGGTTCTCGTACGATCATCGGAGTTAAGAAACGTCGAGCCTGGTCAGTACCTAGATGGGTGACTGCTTGGGAGTACTGTAAGCTTGGATATGCGGGTGGTGTAATGGATAACGGTTCAGAATTGGAAATCGGAGAGCCGTGTTCCAATTCCAATCGGGTTCATTATATTTACTTACGTGCAAAAATACCCCTGGGAAAGATAAGAATCCGAGCTATGGATTAATTATTATCACTAAATCATTATTATTTTCAAAATATTATTACAATCTAAAAAATAATTTTCTGCCTTTAAATAACCTGTGAAATCAATCTTACTCAACCAGTAAATCTGATAGCGATTCAAATCGGTTGGTAGCCTTCAATGTAAACACTGATGCCTTGGAGGAACTGGAGAGATATTTAACGAAAAATGTTTCTTTTGGGTCCTTTTATTCTACCAGTAAATCAGACAGGGTCCAAGTCAGTTCGTAGCCTTTGATGAAAAGAGTTACTGCTCTGGACCAGTACCTGGACGAGATAGTGATTTTCCAAGCGTAGCTTAGATGTGGCACAAGGCCGAAAGTATGGAGCGCCCAGTGAGGATCGAACTCATTAATCAGTCGCAATTATTCTAGCGAGACAAGTTTACTAACCATTACACCACGCCGAGGCGCTCAGCTTAGATGTGGCACAAGGCCGAAAGTATGGGGCACCCAGTGAGGATCGAACTCACTACTCAGTTGTAATTGCTCTAGCGAGACAAGCTTGTTAACCTTTACACTGCCTCGAACTGCCCAACAGCTGACGAGATATATTGCTAGAAATTTCTTTCTACGAGTTCTTCTTATTCTCCCAGCAAACATGGGAGAGGGATTCAAAACAATTCATAGCCTTTGATGAAAACAATGATTGCCATGGAGCAATTAACGATATATATATATATATATATATATATATATATATATATATATATATATAACGAGAAATTTCTTTTTGGTGGGCCTTTTTACTCTACCAGTCAATGGGATGAGGATTCAAGACTGTTTTGTTTTATTAAAATATCGATTTCCTTGGAGCAACTAAGGAAATCTTTTACATGTCGTGTCTCGTCAGGAAGTAGGCGATCATGGCCCTCCACATCTTCCTGCCTAATGTAGTTCCAAATAAGTTTTGTCTTTTTGTTGTTTCTCCCAAACCCTGTTCTACCATCCATTTGCTCAAGCTCATCAAATAAGATACGCGTTGCTGTCTCTCTTTTCTTTTCTGTCCTGTGAGTATCTGGTTTTCGAAGTTCTAATTCCTCATGATGTGCCTCAGAAATTTTAACTAACTATCCTTTTGTTAAGTATGTTTGCTTTTTTGATTTCATTTGTTGCTCATATGTTCGGATCATGGTATCCTCAGCATCTTTCTACGAGATTTTTTTTTTCTACTGGCTCTTCTTACTCCACCAGTAAATCGTATAGGAATTCGTGATAATTTGCTATGACATCACACGATAATATTGATAGTTTATAAGAGGCACAGTGTCTAAAAAAAACTGTTATTTTTTTTATTAAAATTGCACCCAGGGGTAAAATATATCCTTGCCCGAAGTTGTTAAATAGTTTTAGGCTAGGTAAAAAAAATGTAATGTGTAAGGAAAAAAATATTTTTGTTAGCGTCAATTTTTCCTTTACTTTTCGGCAAACATTTTTTTTAATCATACCGATTAAAAAAAATGTTTGCCGAAAAGTAAAGGAAATAAAGCCACAAGGGGTTACAGGGTTTGGAAGAATTAGAAAACAGAAACATTAATAATGCGCGGGAAGAGAAAAAAGTTATCAGTAGGACAGTAGATAGCGATTGATTTAAATGTTTGTAAATTAAAGATACCTGGAAAACATGGAGCCCGAAGAAGTGCGATAAAAGAAACTGTTAGCATAGACATTTCAGTTATATCTAGCCAGCTTAATTGTAAATTGATGAGACGCCAGTCTAGTATTGCGTTTAAATTCAAAAAGTCCAGGGTCCATGGCGAAGACCTCATCCGAACAATTACCATGAAAGTATTTATAGAAAAGACTCAGAGGCAACCTTACGACGGTGGGAAAAGTGACTGAAGCCGAGCAGCCAGATCAGGAACAATGATATTGCTGATACTTCTTTGGATTTTTTTCAAGGAGCTCAAGATAAATAGCAGGGGAACCGGACCATATGTTACTGCAATGGACGAATGGTAAACATATAGATATGTAAGATAGTTTGCGGAGAGAAAAATTGTCTTGCACGACACAGTAAACCAACTTTCTTAAATTCATAAAGTCTAGGTACCATAGCGATGAGCTCATCCAAACTAGTACCATGAAAGTATTTATAGAAAAGACACAGAGAGGCAAACTTGTGCCGTTGGGCAAGTGACTGAAGCCGAGCCGCCAGATAAGGATCAATAGTATTGCTGTTTTTTCTTTGACTCTTATCAAGGAGCTCCAGATCAATGACAGGGGCACCGAGCCATATATGGCAACAATATTCTAAGCATGGACGAATAGTAGACTTATAGGTATGTATCTTACATACATCCTGGAGAGAAAAATTGTCTCGCACGACACAGTGAAGCGACTTTCTGTTATACCGGAACATACCTATTCTATTGTTAATAGACTCTCCCAGATATAATAAGTAGTAGTAGTAGCAGTCGCCAGTGGGCTCAGTGAGTTGAGTGAGTCAGTCGATGTCGGACATTGAAGTATCAACCACTCCAACTAGATTGCTGTGTCTTTAACTATTATTTCAAGTTCCTAACGTTTTGTACGTCGAACCTCTTTTAGGACCGACTTAGTGAAATACAAGCCTCCACTGTGAAAACTACTCTACAACACACTTTCTTAACAGCTGACATAGTAATTGATTCAATACAGCCTTTCCTCTACTCAACGACTCCCTTTTCAGGAGGATAGCATCAATCATGCTGATGGAAGGTTGCGTGGTGTCTCTTAATGGATTGAAGTTTAGTTTTGGAGGCGTTAAAATTAACAAGCTATCTTTTGCCCCAGTCACACACACATACACACACGCGCCCATAGATAGATAGATAGATAGATAGATAGATAGATAGATAGATAGATAGATAGATATAAAATAAAATATAAAATAATATATAGATATAAAATAAAATATAAAATAATATATATATATATATATATGTGTGTGTGTGTGTGTTAAATTTATGTATTTATATCTATGTGGACTTTCATGAAAATGATACGTTGACACGAAGCTATCCTTTCGTCTAAGGTTAAGAACGTTGACAATGAAATTTCAACTGTCCTTTGAGGAAACGGGCTCTCCCACTTGCACGATAATAGCAGAGATTACTGGCATCACCGATTCAAAATAGCCTGCACTGTGTAACACGGCAGACAGTCAGTGTTCTTAGCGGAATTTGTCATTGTTATCAAGATAGGAAAAGACTGTAGAGAAAGGACAAATATGTTTGGATTGTGCAGGGGTTTTCCGAAATAGCTAACCTCTTTAGTGATAATTACCATAAAAAAAGCAAAGTAGTTTAAAAAACAAAAATGAAAGCGGACTGTACAGGAAACGATATTTTATTCCCACAATAAGGAAAAGAAAGAAAATACATACTTTGTTTAAAAAATTCAATGTGAACCTGGTATTTCCGTGGCTTTTTTTTTTTCACGTTTTGTACAGAAACGTGAGTTAAAGAGATCAAAAATATAAGAATAGAATATGGGCGTTAAAAGAGGAAAGAAAGTTCAAGGACGTGGCCTATGATAGCGCAACAAAAATTCTAATTGTGAAAAGGCAAAATGGATGGTTTTTAACAAAAGGGGCAGCTCAAAGTTTGAGTTTATGTATGGGAAACGACATCATCGAACAGGTACAGAAATTTAAAAAGTGGTGTATTTGTTTTATTTTTCCCTAAAAACAAACTATTATTAATCAGAAGAAGTGCATTCTTGTTTGTAAAAACAACTTGGTCATACAATTATCTATCTATCTATCTATCTATCTAGATATATATATATGTGTGTGTGTGTGTGTGTATATATATATCAATAGATGATTACTAGGGATAATTTCAAGAACGGTTATAATGCAATGATGATGGTTTCTCAGCTTAAAATGACTTTTACAATTTCAATGTATCTATTTTGAATATTATCACTCCCTTCCGCCACCCTGCTTTTTAACTTGTCAGTTCCCGGAATAAAAATTTTTTCTGGGTCACTCTGTCGACTTGCTTAATTCCCTCTTTCCTTTCTTTCCCCCTCTCACTCTCTTTCCCTTCCCCTCTATCTCTTTGTCTCATCCCTTGTATTGAAATCTCTGTCTTTCTCCCCTTTTTTTCTTTCTGTTCATCCGATTTTTTAAATGTCGTCTACTTTCAAAATACATGCACTGATGACCCTCTAGAGATTCCATTTTTTAGTCATTATCTGTGAATTATCAGGACTTCTTGGATGGCAGAACAGGACGAGAGCGATAATGGATGGCAGAACCTTATCAAGAGCTACAAAATATAGAAAGCTGTGGAGAGCCATGATCGTCCTGAGGAAACACGTTTCATAGAAGAAGAATACTTTAGGATACAACAGGCGTGTGTGTGTGTGTGTACAAACGTCCTGTTCTGCCATCCATTTGCACAAGCCCGACTGGTACTCTTGATATTCATTTCAAGGTTCTTGTCAAAATCCAAAGAAGGATCTGTAATATAATCGATCCTGATCTGGCATCTCGACTACGTAACGTGCCTTCCCGCTGTCTTTTCTACAGATATTTTCACGGCAACTGCTCTGACGATCTTTTTTCCCCCGGTGCCCTGACTTGATGAATTAAAGGGTGCTACTAGATTGGCATCTAGGTCCCACCCATTTACTGTTGAAATAGCTAAATACAACGGCCACTTCTACTTCCGTTTACTTGCTTCCCTGATAAATACAATCTTCAAAAATTTAAATGCAATACCAACCGCATTCTTCTATTTTCTTGAAACCCGTTCATCTTTTGTCCTTTCCTCAATCCTCCCTATACTCAGTCTTTTCTCTCACTTTCACTCCTTGTAACCCCCTGCATACTATTGACATTTTTGCTT